ACTGAGCCGCCAACCAGCCGACCGCATCCATGGGAGTCACAATGAAAATCTGAGTCAAACAAAGACCTCAACAGGAGGGAAGGATCGGAACTATCTATCGATGTGCCATCTCATTACGGGAATGGAAACGGAACATATTACCAAGAATCTTGCCAAGAGTCATGCATGGTAAAGAGAAACGTCAGTCTCTGGGGTGTTGGGGCTGAAGCTGAGGCGATCCCTCGGTACAGCCCAGAGAGCTGAGGGATTGCGGAAAGCCAAAACTCGGTTGATTTTCTCAATTAAAATACTGCCAAATGCCCAGCCGTGTTCAGGGGCGGGCCATGAGTCAAAAGCATCAGCCGTTCTGCTTGAAACAACCACACGACAACATCTCAATTGCACTCTGGATTCTCAGGGCTTTCCGTACGCCGCTGCTTTTTCTTGCCTGTGGTGCAGCGGTGTGTCTTTTCAAAACCGAGCCAAACCCTGTAGGTCCAGTGCCGTTAGACTTCGATAGGTCTCCCGCAGCCGCCGCAGTAGAGAAGACCCCTAAAGGCAAGGATAGCCATTGATTGCCACTGCAGGAGGTGAGTCGGTGCCTCGAGCCAGCCTCAGGATCGATTGCCTCCAGTGCAGGCTCAGAGTCGCGCCCAACACTTGTGAGAGATCTCGTAAGACGCGAGACCTCGAGAGGTGCACGGCAGGGGAACGCCCGGCAGCCATGACAATTGCATGCTTGATTCGGAGAGCGCCGGTTGCAGAAGGTGGTGCCGCAGGTGCTGTTGTTGGTGTGCGACGCCGAGGCCCAAGGTGCCCAACTGATACGAGAAACCTGAGTTTTCTCCATGAGCCCGATGCTCGGCGTGTTGCCTCGGCCGATGCTGTGCGATCCGCCCCGCGAAGCCTGAGCTCCACCCACCGCCTGGCATCCCATATTCACTCTCGCTGCATCGCCGCCCCCGTTTTTTACTTTCGACCTCGCCCAGCAACTACCACCGCGCCTGTCTCCTCCTTTGTATCCATCAGGACTTTCTCTGGCTCGGCCCCGACAAGAGCAACCATGGTGGCCACCAAGATTGACGGCACGGCGACCGCCAAGAAAATCCGCGAGAGACTCCGCGTCGAGATTGCACAGCTCAGGGAGACTAACCCGCGCTTCTGCCCCTCGCTCAAGATTATCCAAGGTATGTGCGCCACAACGGCAATTGCAGAGGAAATGAGTGCAGCTAACCACCAGCGACGCAGTGGGCGACCGTTCCGATTCCTGTAAGCTACCCCGCCGCCGCCAGGTCGTGGTTGGTCGCAGCCGCAGCCGCAAATCCGCGGCCGTTGCTGTAACCGTCATCGCGGGGCAGATTCCCGGAGACGGCCCCCGGAGACGGCCCCCGGTACTGACACCACACCCCTCTCTTTAGCCACCTATGTGCGCATGAAGCTCAAGGCCGCCGAAGAGGTAAGCATGTCGAAAATGCTTAGTCGTAGTGTCATGCAGACCACTAACTTGCCTTGGACACATACAGTGCGGCATTGCTTGCGAGCTGATCAAGTTTGACGAGTCGGTCACCGAGGCCGAGCTAATTACCCGACTGCAACAACTCAACAACGACCCATCCGTCCACGGCATTCTAGTCCAGCTACCATTGCCCGACCACGTCTCCGAATATGCCGTCACTTCAATCGTCGCGAGCGAGAAGGATGTCGACGGTTTCGGCACTTCAAACATTGGCGAGCTGGCCAAGCGCGGCGGCCACCCTGCCTTCATCCCTTGCACCCCCAAGGGTGTCATGGTTCTCCTCGAGGAAGCTGGCGTTACCCTCAGCGGCAAGAACGCCGTCGTCGTTGGTCGTAGCGACATCGTTGGCAGCCCTGTCAGCTATCTCCTAAAGAACGCCGACGCCACTGTGACAGTCTGCCACTCCAAGACAGCGGGCCTCGAGCACTACCTCAAGAACGCCGATGTTGTTGTTGTTGCCATTGGCCAGCCAGGATTCGTCAAAGGCGAGTGGCTAAAGGAGGGCGCTGTTGTTATTGACGTAGGGACAAACTACATCCCTGATGTGACCAAGAAGTCGGGCTCGCGCCTTGTGGGCGATGTCGACTTTGAGTCGGCCTTCCAGGTTGCCTCCTTTATTACCCCCGTCCCTGGCGGCGTCGGCCCCATGACCGTTGCCATGCTTCTCCAAAACGTTGTCGATGCCACAACACAATCCTTTAATGCTCAAAAGCAACGCCATGTCGTGCCACTGCCCATTAAGCTCCTCGACCCCGTCCCTTCAGATATTGCCATCTCCAGAGCGCAAGCACCAAAACACATCACCCAGATCGCCACCGAAATCGGCATATCTCCATCCGAGCTGGAGCCATACGGCGCATACAAGGCCAAGGTCGACCTCGGAATCCTCAAGCGCCTGGCCCACCGTCGCGACGGCCGCTATGTCGTCGTTACTGGCATAACCCCGACGCCCCTTGGTGAGGGGAAATCTACGACAACCATGGGTCTCGCGCAGGCGCTGGGCGCTCACGTCGGCCGTCTAACATTTGCCAATGTCCGGCAGCCCAGCCAGGGCCCAACATTCGGCATCAAGGGTGGCGCCGCTGGCGGCGGCTACAGTCAGGTCATCCCCATGGACGAGTTTAACCTCCATCTGACTGGTGATATTCACGCCATCACAGCTGCGAATAATTTACTCGCGGCTGCCATCGACACTCGCATGTTCCACGAGAACACACAAAAGGATGGGCCCCTATACCGGAGACTGGTACCCGCCAAGAACGGGAAGAGAGAGTTTGCCCCAGTCATGTTCCGGCGTCTGAAGAAATTGGGCATCGAGAAGACTGACCCAGACTCATTAACTGAGGATGAGATTCATCGGTTTGCCCGTCTCGATATCGATCCAGACACCATCACCTGGAAGCGTGTTTTGGACGTGAATGACCGCCATTTGCGCGGCATTACCATCGGAACCGCCCCAACTGAAAAGGGTGCCACTCGCCAGACCGGATTCGATATCTCGGTGGCCAGTGAGTGCATGGCTATTCTAGCCCTCAGCACCGACCTACCAGACCTTCGGGAGCGTCTCGGGAAGATGGTTATTGGAAGCTCGAAGGGTGGTGACCCCGTGACCTGCGACGATCTCGGCGCGGGTGGCGCCTTGGCTGCCCTGATGCGCGACGCGATCAAGCCTAACCTAATGCAAACGCTCGAGGGGACCCCGGTGTTTGTTCACGCTGGTCCCTTTGCAAACATCAGCATTGGAAACAGCTCCATTATAGCCGACAAAATGGCTCTAAAGCTTGCTGGTACTGAGCCGGACGAGGACCACTCGTCCAAGGCTGGTTTCGTGGTGACCGAGGCCGGATTTGACTTCACCATGGGTGGAGAGCGATTCTTCAATATCAAGTGCCGCACATCGGGACTTGTGCCGGATGTTGTGGTAGTGGTAGCCACCGTTCGCGCACTCAAGGTCCACGGCGGCGGTCCCCCTATCTCTCCCGGAGCCCCCCTCAACGCGGTATATAAGGAAGAGAATGTCGAGATCCTGCGGAAAGGCTGTGTCAACCTGGCGAAGCATGTGGCAAACGCCCGGTCATACGGCGTGCCGGTAGTCGTGGCCATCAACAAGTTCTCGACTGACACCCCCACTGAGATTGAGGTCATCCGCGAGGAGGCCATCAAGGCCGGCGCTGAAGACGCCATCCTAGCCAACCATTGGGCTGAGGGTGGCAAGGGTGCCATCGACCTTGCCAAGGGCATCATTTCCGCGGCGGAGAAGCCGAAAGATTTCAAGCTCCTCTACAGCCTCGAGGGCACAGTACAAGAGCGCATCGAGAAGATTGCGCGTGACATGTACGGCGCCGCCGATGTTGAGTTCAGTGAGCTTGCGCAAAAGAAGGTGGATACATATACCCGCCAGGGCTTCGGCAACCTCCCCATCTGCATCGCCAAGACGCAGTACTCGCTCAGCCACGACCCAGACCTCAAGGGCGCTCCGACCGGCTTCACAGTTCCCATCCGTGATGTAAGGATGGCCGCTGGTGCTGGCTATCTATACGCGCTAGCTGCGGATATCCAGACAATTCCCGGTTTGCCAACCGCCCCGGGTTATCTCAATGTGGATGTCGACACTGAGTCTGGAGAGATTGACGGCCTGTTCTAGACAAAAGCACCTATCTGCTCTGTTTTTGTTTTTATATCTGGGCTAGGCTGTCTGTCTGTCTATGTCTCACATATATCCGTCATGTCTTTCCGGTGTTTATCCCCCCTCGGCATTTAGGGGGGAGGTGGCCATGCATTTGTGATCAACTCAAAGGTGCGGCGGGAGCAAGGAGCGATAAGCCATGAGCCATGAGCTTTTGGGAGTGCGTGTTTTAACACATGGCGCTAGGTTATATACTCCATACAGGTAGAAGAGACTCGAGGGGAATACAGAGTACATCGAGCAACAATTCAAAATCAATGAGAGATAAAATGAAGCTCAAACGCACCAACTACTTAGCGCACGTCTCAACCAGTAGGTTAATTCCTCGCTAGTTCGCTCGTCTGGTGTTGAGTTCCGCGCGGAAACATCAGCTCCTCCCTGGAGTGTTGTGGAGTTGACACCACACTAGTCCTGCCCTTGAGAGCTCAGCTTCTCGAGGTCTGCATAGGTATCGGACCTCCTTGAACGCCCCTTCTGATACTTTCAGGGTTAAAACTTGAGTGCGAATGACTTTGCAATGTTCCCATCCTGAAATCGCGAGGGCGATGGCCGGAATCATAACTGATACCACGCCTCCCATTATTGCCCACAAATCCCCCATCTCTGCGCTAATCTGCTTGCATCTTGGCCCTGAAGTTGAACCAAGCTCCATACTGATTCTGCCCTCTCAACATGACAACCCGGGTTAGGTTCCACAGCGAAACCGCCTCGTCTATCTTGGATCTCCACCACCCCGCCATCAATGCTACACATGAGAGCAAAAAGAAAAAGCAAAAAGAAGGTTAGTCAACAGATGGATACCTATTGACCAGCTAGTCATGGATGAGCTAAGAATCGAACTCAGGACCTTTCGCAGTACAGAAGCAACGCTCTACCAACTGAGCTACACGCCCTTGTTGGCTATTTGATGATATTTCCGAAATGGATCCTTGATCACCGGGGAGGTTCCTACAAGAGCGTGTCTGGAGTGTCCTGAGTAGACCGTGTATATTGAGAGTTATGTATTGCCCCATTACCGAGCTATGAAGCAGGCGGTTCGGCTAAATACACCAGAAGCATTTCCAAGTATTCGCCCCTCCCGGGCCTGTCATGAGCTCGCCGTCTTCATTATGTCCATCGTCTATCGTGAATCGGTAATCCCTCCCGTCGTTCCCCTTTCGTTAAAGTACAATACAATCGTGGTTGTATATCAAATGATAAAACGGTGTATGATGAAGAATGCAGAGAGCAAAAGAGGCAAGTGTATAAAAGTACAGAGAGCATGACAGAGAAATCGCGGACGGAAGAAGAAAGGACGGGATCAGTCGGGCGAGAAAAGTTGTGGAGGAAGAAAACAGAAAGAAAAACACACAGAAAAGCCCAACTATATCATCCCCGTCGTCTCGTCGTGAGATGTTGTAATACTCCGGCACGCCGTCGCTCCAAGAGATAAAAAGGAATGGATATCAACCCGACCCAGCCCCATTGTAACCCATACCCATAACCGACACACGCCTGATTTTATTGTTGCAGTAACCCCAAGATACCGAAAAAGACTCAAGGGATGGGCCGCCCCGTATAACCGTCATTATTAGATCCACGAGGGTGGTTGAAAATGAGTTTCGGGGGGGGGAGGAGGGATGGCTCCCGAAACTACCAAGCAATCTTTGCTCGGATGCCTGCTAGCTTTTGTTCGACAGCGTTGACGACCCAAAGAGGGCAGTTATGTAAACACACAAAAAGAAAAGGAGAGTAACTAATGAAAAATATGGACCAGATGAGTCGTGTATGTGTCCGCGTCAGATGGTAGGTGTAGGATGATAATTTGTCGTGCCGTGTTGCGGCAGTTAGAACCACTTCCAGTTGGCGCCTTCCTCGAGCTTCCTCAAGACGCCGACAGCGTCTACGTACAGCCTCGAACGACCGCCGATGCAGTCCCTCTCAAGCTGGCGGCGCACTAGCCCGACGACACCGCCGGCTTCGCGGCGGCCGCGGTTGCGCACCACGTCCTCAAGCCGCGTGCTATCGGCGGCCACCATGCGCAACCACGTCAAGGCCTCGTCGTCGGCCGCGGCTGAAGCGGTATTGTTGGACGCCCGAGAAGCAGGGCTGATGTTGCCGCTCCCACCGCTGCTGCTCCGCCGGTGCTGCTGTTGCGTCTCGGCCGCGGGGGCAGCACGAGCGCGGTGGCCAAACGCCCAACAGATGAGAGCGCAGACGTACAAGGCCCAGTAGTCGGAAAGGTCGGCCGACCAAGCAGGCGCCATGCCAGTACGGGCGGGTCCGGTGTACCCGCGCTCGAGAAAGCTGACAATGGCGCGGGCAGCATATACGGTAGCCTTGGCAGCGCTGAGACCGGCAAGGCTACCTCCAGGAGCGCTAGCAGTGCTGCCGGCAGGACGTGAGTGCTGCTCAGCCCAAAGCTTGAGGCGCTTTTGGTGCTCGTGGAATGAAGTGGCCGGCAAGACTTTCTGCGAAAAGACCCAGGAGTCGCCCCCCACGGCAAGAAGGTCGAGGAGGGGGGTGTGGTGCAGGGCGAGGTACGTGTTGGCAACTGGGCAGCCAGCGAACAGAGTGCTGATGCGCTCTTCGACTTGGAGCGCAACGGCTTCCCTCGCGGGGTCCGGGTGCTGAGCATTCTGGAGTTGCAACTGCTGGTCCGGATCAAACTGATTACCGGCGTTCTGCATGTGCGAATCACCCTCGGCACTAGGAGAGTTATGTGCCGAGACAGATGCCACCGACGTTAGGTGGCGACGAGGCAGCTGCAGCATCTGGATCCCTAGCATCAACACCTGATCATAAGGCATCTGTGACATGACGTCCTGGGCCGTAAGTTGCTCCGGCGGAGGAGCGAAAGCGGGGATGCCAGCTCCGGGGTCGGCAGCCAGGACCGCCGACCACTCCTCTGCCGAGGAAGCTTCCCAGAGAGTAGAGCTGCGGCCGAGGAGCGGGACGGGGGGCGTTGGCGACATCCCGCTGCCATCCCAGTCGTGAGCACGGCGTTGCTGTTGGTAAATAGCGGCGTGGCTATCGGCATGGAAGCATGCGGCGAGGAGGCGGCGACGGGCTTCGGTGTCGACCCAGTTGTGCCACCGTTCCTCTGCCGAGAGGTGGTCCACGGCTAGCACAGCGTTGTCGAACATGGACGGGTTCTGGTACAGGACCTGCAGAGTGGAGAGAGCCTGTGAGTATGTCTGTTCGGAAACCTGAGACCGAGCCTGGAAAGAAAGCGACGAGGGCTGCGGTGGGGTGTAGTGGCCGGTGGAGAAAAGAGAGGCCCAGGACCGCTGTGGCCGCAGAGAAGAGGCAGGGGGATAGGGGGTATTATGATTAAAAGTAGGACGGATATTGTCGTTCAGGGAAAAAGAAATATCAGCCGCACTAAAAGAAGTGCTAGGAGAGGAAGACATGTTGCCGAACGAGGAAGAAGTCGAAGATGCATAGGATGAGGGAAAACTGCACCAGGGAGTGCTAGGAGCTGCGCTGAGGCGTCGGAAGTCATTGGAGGACATGGCAGCGTTGGTGGGCGTGGTTGAAGCACAAGAAGAGCAATCGGAAGAAGCAGAAGAAATAGGAGACCAAGCGCTATTGTCGACAATGAAGAGGGCGTTGCTACCCCTACGGGTAGATGAGAACGAGGACGACGCAGCAAAGAACTGCAAAGAACTCACCCTCGAGTAAAGGTTTTCGAATGTCTTCGATGGCCCTGTGACCGCTTTTCTGCCGCGGAAGCGCGCGAAATACTCGCACAGCAGAATTGCCTGCATAATCTGGAGGTTCCATTGGGTTGCCTGCTTGTCACAGAAGACGTCGTCGGTCAGCATTACTGTGTCGTGTCTGATATGGGAAGACGGAGAGAGGGGGGGGAGGAGGGCAGCTGCTATCAGGCTTTGGACTCACCCGCTTCGCCTCCTGCCAAGCGTGCTCATGAAGTTGATTCCCCCGGATGCGGTCCTCCTTGCCGTCAAGAAACTGAGTAGCCACGGCCGCCATAGCGCACCGCAGCACGTCCTCGGGTGCGGCCTCGAACGACTGCCGATGTACGACCGGGAGTGCGGGATGGACTCGTGCCCAGTAGACAGTGAGGTACTCGGGAATTGCGGCTCGCACAGCTCTGGGGAGCGGAAGTCCCATCGACGTCCCTGGCATGCCACATCCCGTACCAAGGGGCAAGTCCAGGGCCGCCAAGATACCGCTGCCGTGGTCGCCATCCCCACCGCCGTACCCAACACCAAGACCGTCAAGAACACCGATGCCGCCCATAACAGCCTGGGCCTCCATCAAACCATGATGCGATTCTACGGCCATCTCCTTTTGGCGGCCCAGGCCGACTAGTGCGTCTAAGCGACTTGGGAGGGCGGGCGAAGGCGTGACGAGTGCCTCCCCCGAGTGGGAGGACGTATTTGGAGGTGGAGTCTGGCTACGGATAGAAGACATGGAGTTCCCATGCTGGTGGTGAGAGCGAAAGGTGCTTTCAGAAGAGTTGCTAATGGCCGAGTGGTGACTTGTCGTGCCAGCCGCCGACCCATACCCACCCATGGGGTCAAACATATTCCCATAGGTCTGTTGCTGCGGAGTCGAAGTGAAATGCGACGAGGCTGGAAACGGGTTGATGAATAATGGGGGTGGCGGGGCCCGCATTGGCTCCAGACCCTCTCCTTGGCTTTGCAGGTCGCGGGGTGTCGAGCCAGGATAAGGAGATAGGAGCTGGGTGCTGGGCCACTCGGTCGTCGTCGGTGAGCGCCTCGTCATCCAGAAGCGTTGCTGTCGTGTGATATCAGACGCCGAGGCAGGTGTAGAGTACGTGCTGTCCGAGGTGGAGGAGGTCCATGGCGACGCGTCGTGGGAATGATACAGATCCGGCGTCCTATGTTCGGGGATGTGAAGGCTCGGCAGTGATACCCCCTGGGTGACCAAGCCGACAGGCGGCGGCGGCGCTGTTCTGGGCTGCGGATAATCCAGAACGTCCTGAAAGGGGCCAGTCAGCGAGGAAGGGTGTGCCGGGTCGATGATGGAGACGGTTGACGACGGCATTGGGTAGTTGTTGTAGTCCTGGGATGTTCTTCCTGGTGGCCCATAGGTGGAGCTCCCGCCTCCAAGTGCTTGGGGGGTCGGGGGACTGCTTCCAATGGCTGGGCTGCTTAGCTGCGAGAAGTTCCTTTGGCTTCCCGGGACGCTGGGTGTGGGCGGGACCTCTGTTGTTGACGGTGAGGCTATCGCTCGTAGCCCAGGCCCAGGAACGACGGGCGAAACACCACCTGGGGGCTGCTGGAGCGGCGGTGCCCTTTGGGGATACCTCTCGTCAATAGACAAGGGCGCTGACGAAGCACGCCGATCATCGTCGTTGCCCCCACCCTTGGACGACGCCTTGTCACCCTCTTGCTCACTGCCGTACCGTCAGCACCACGTGGGAAAAAGACCCGGGGAAAATACTGACTGTCTTTGTTGATGGCGTGCAAGGAGGTCTGGCCGGTGGAAGGCCCTGTCACAACCTGGATACATGCACGGATGTCCTGGAGTCTGGTGGCTCAGTTGGTGACGCCTGGGGAGGCCGACGTGGTCAGTAACATGGCAGCTGGGCGGATTGCACCCGCAATAGGCGCGGAGGCTCACCTTAGGTGCTCGGCTCTGGTAAAGGTCTGGTATGGATGTCAGCACGAAGGCCAAAACGGGAAGGGAATATAAGCGAGCAATAGGTCCTTCCACAAACCTTGGCTGGCTTGCAAACATTGCAGACGTGAACGGGAACGCCCTTCTTCGCCCTACTAACTCGGCCGGTGATGGGAGTGAGCCTCATAGGGAGGTCCGAGGCGGGCTGATGGGGAGGCATTGGCCTCATCGGACTGTGTGAGGAGTGGTGGTGTTGATGATGCTGCAGACGGCCACCCATCGACGACGACGAGGCGGCGGA